GGAGAAGGCGTCAGCGCCAGCCTTCTCCCCGAGCAAGTAAAAACCCGGAAGTTACCCACCGTACAAGTATTTGTAGATGGAGTAGAGTGCACAGCTCTAGTGGATTCAGGATGCTCACAGACGCTGGTGAGCAAGACTGTGTGTCGCTGCTGGAAGCAGGAAGAGGTGGGAGTGTTGACTGCCGATGGGAAGACCCTGAAGTGCCGTGTATACGGTAAAATTAAGTTGGGCGTCGAGCATATTCAGCCCGTGACTGTTGAGGTTCTGGTCGTGGAAGGGCAGTTGCTAGGATTCGATCTTCTTCTCGGGATTGATGCAATCAAAGTGCTCGGAGGTGTTTACTTGACCGAATCAGGCAAAGCTCGTTTCGAAACCTGAACACATGTGCCGCCATTGTTATCAACAAGCCTGACTTTAGAGTGACGTTTAACCCGAGCACAAAAACGTGGACTGCATTGTGGAAGTGGGCGAGTGGTTATTCACCTAGCAAGTTGGTCAATAAAGTACAGGAGTACACAGTACCTGGCCACGTCCGGGATGCATACGATGAAGAACTAGCACGGTGGCAGCGAGACGGATGGCTACTGCCATATCCTGAGAAAGAGCTTGGCCCACCCAAGGGATTAATTCCCTTAATGGCGGTCGTACAAGAACACAAACAGAAGGTCCGACCGGTACTTGACTATCGGGAGTTGAACGGCTTTGTAGACGCATTCACGGCTGACGCAGAGGTGTGTGCGCAGAAATTACGAGAATGGCGACGACAAGGAGCTGACGTATCGCTGTTGGATTTGAGAAATGCGTACCTACAGATTCACATTGACAAATCGCTATGGCCGTTTCAAACAGTGGTCATTAAGGGCAAGCGGTTTTGCCTTACGCGTTTGGGTTTTGGCCTGAATGTGGCACCACTTGTCATGAAGTCAGTGATCGACATGATAACGTCCCAGGATCAGGACATTAAGAGTGCCACGTCGGCATACGTCGACGATATCTTCATAAATGAAGGCCTAGTTTCTGCAGCGCGCGTAAGACAGCACTTTGCAGATTACGGGCTAGTCTGTAAAGATCCGGAGCGATTGAGAGACGGAACTAAGGTCCTGGGTCTGCAAGTCTGGGAAGAAAGCAACTCTCTTCGATGGAAGCGGGAGGTCAGGTTCCAGAAATTGCTCAAAAGGTGACCCGCCGAAGCGTATTTTCCTTGTGCGGGAAACTCGTGGGTCATTTCCCTGTGTGCGGTTGGCTTAGGGTGGCAACTGCATTTATTAAGCGTTATGCAAGTACACTAACCAAAGGATGGGACGACGAGATAAAGGATGCCCCTCTTGGACGTATGCTGGAGGAAACAGTGGCCAGAGTGCGGGAATCAGATCCTGTCGGCGGAGACTGGTGTGTGAACGGCAATGAAATGACAGTTTGGGTGGATGCAAGCTCCGTGGCCACGGGAGTAGCACTAGAGGTGAATGGGAGCGTCGTGGAAGATGCTTGCTGGTTGCGTCCAACCAATGATGCCAAACACATTAATCTTGCTGAGCTTGATGCGGTGATCAAGGGCGTGAATCTTGCCCTGCAGTGGCAGGCACCAGTTATGCATGTGGTCACCGATTCAGCATGTGTGCATCGGTGGGTGTCTGACACCCTGACAGGAAGGACGCGCGTGAACACGAAGGCAGCGGGTGAAATGCTGATGAGGCGGCGCTTAGAGACACTGCGAGCTTTGGTGGAGGAGTACGCACTGACTATGACTGTGACGTTGGTGAAATCTTGTCAGAACCGCGCTGACAGCCTCACCAGAGTGCCGCAACGCTGGTTGGAGATGCACAAGAAAGGAGGAGAACCGGTGCAAGTGAGTTGTGTCACTGCAACGAGCCAGTTGAGCAAACGTCAGGTGACCCACATCCACCAGCAGAGGGGCACCCAGGTGTTAAAAGAACAATGTACTTTGCTAGGACTGTAGATCCAACGGTGTCTAAGGAACTGGTAAAATCTGTCGTTAGAACCTGTGAAGCCTGCCAATCGATCGATCCAGCACCAGTGCATTGGAAGAAAGGAAATTTGAGTGTGAGAAAAAACTGGAGCAGGTTAGCAATGGACGTAACCCATTGCAATGGTAGCCATTTTCTTACGCTCATTGACTGTGGTCCCTCCCGTTTTGCAGTATGGCGGCCACTGAGACGGCAAGACTCTGCTGGTGTCATTCGTCAGCTAGAGACAGTCTTCTACGAACGAGGCCCGCCGACCGAAATACTGACTGACAATGTTACCACGTTCACTTGCAGACAATTTAGGAATTTGTAAACAGCTGGGGCGTGCATTTGAGGTTCCGGTGCGCTTACGTGCCGTCTGGAAATGGCATTGTGGAACGCAACCACAGAAGCGTCAAAACCATAGCGGCCAGGAAAAATTGTTTAGTCTTGGAAGCGGTTTACTGGCATAACGTCACACCTAAGGACAACCTTTCACCTTCCACGGCACCGGCTGATGTACTGCACACATACCACGTCCGGGTGAGAGGCATCAACGCGACGCCCCCACCTGAATCACAAATAACCGAAGGGGAATACAAGAAAGGGAACATTGTCTGGGTTAAGACTCCACGTGGTAAATGCAAGACCAAATTTGGAACCAGACGTGTGACCGAGGTGGTGAGTCAGCAGTCAGTGAGGGTCGATGGAACGCCTCGTCATGTTAGAGACCTGCGCCCTTTTTTGGGCTCAAATCCCACAACTGACGAAGAAGACACGGAGGATAGTGAACAGCCAATATACATAGAGTTGGATTCAACAACCAATCACTCCGATAGCGGTAGTTTGCCAATAGATCGGGATGTGTCTAATGAGAGCTCCTCTGATGAAGAAGTTCAACCAATCCCCCTTCGGAGGAGCACCCGGAACAAAAGACCGTATCCTCACTGTCATCTGTGTGATCAGGAGATCAGTGGGGAGTGTGGCGGACATGAGACAGAACCTGGGACGAGCACAACTGGTCGCGACTTGCCTTGTCCCCGCCAAAAAAGAGCCCGTATTTGCTTAGCATGTAAAGCTACTGCAGTTGAAATGAGGGAGAGAAAAAAAGCACTTACCGCTCTGCCGTAATCCATCCTCGGCCAGATAACATAAAAGAATGAGGGGGGACTGGCATCGCATTTTTATCCAATAACGATGCAATGCATTATGGGACATGGACGCAATGAATTATGGGATCACATGAAGACGCAAGGGATTATGGGTACATGAACAACTATAAAAACAACTACTTTTTTTCCAAGTCGGGGAGTTCTTCGAGGGACGTTCACGGTTGACGGCTAGAACGGGCAGTTAGTGTGATTTGGAGACAGAACTCAGCAAGGAACGACTCAAGTTTGAAATACCAGCTGGGAGAGCTTGAATTTCATGATTTTTTTTTTTATTTTGCTGGTTATTTACTAAACCCTTGTCTGCCATCTATTTACTCATGCTTGCTATGTAGCTTATGCATTGTTTTCCTCTATCCCTCTTGTCTCCAATCTGTCCTGTGAGTATGAAATTTCTCATGTCCTCTTCATCACTTTCTCATTTCAGAGGAAATTGTCCAGCCTTTCCGGCCATACAAAAGGGGACTGATATTACGTAACAGTTCAGTTACACTTTTCTTTTGTCTCTAATGAATTTTTTTTCAGTATCTGTCTATATTTCTGAGATGAGGTGTTATGTACATTATTTACATTATTCAGACACATGGCACAGTGGATAAAGGCGTTAGTTAGATCCAGTGACAGGACCCAAAGAGTGTAAGTTCAATACCAGTCTAAGGCAGTGGAGAACTTGGAGAGGGGAATTAACAGAAGATAACTGATAACTGACATCAATTAAACATGGCACATGGAACTAGAACAGAGTACCCCAGTGAACAAAATAAAACATTCAGTTCGACATTCCAACTACCTAAAGAAGGGTGGATCGTACAATGGCCAAAACGTTGTAATAAATATGGTGACAAAGATGAGGACAATAATCCGAATAATGTAAATAATGAATTTTTTTTGTTTCTTAATACTTTGCTTAGCTTTTGGAAGGCATATTTTTGCTTTTGGAATACAGTATAAAATAAAAAGTTTGTTTTGTTTAATTGAAGGTTTCTTTTTCTTTTCCTTTCTTTTTGCTTCATTTTCTGTGAGGCTTTACCTATATTGATGTCTGCAATGGAGTTGCACAAGATTTAGTCAAATTTGAGTCCAATTGCTTATAAAACAAAATAATGTGCATGGTTGGTTTAAACAAATTTCTTCATCATTGTTGTGTTTATTTTATTTCACCCTATTTTGCCGATTAACATTCTAACATTCCTTCAATCACTGTTATTTGTCCACACAGATAAATAAAAAGCTGTTTTGGTGTTGCATTTATGTGGTTAGTTTTTAAAATTCCTTTTGTAATTCTATATAAGTTAAACAGTGTCAAGCCCAGTCATTATTTAGATGGGGGACCACTTCTGAACACTAGGTACTGTAAGCAACCTCTTATAATCTGAAATATATTTTGGCTTTAAATAATCCACAAAGTATTGATAAGCCTTATGATCTGCAGCTTCATTTGGTTTGGTTTGTTTTACAGCATGTCAACCTCAATGGGTTATTTAATGCCGACAAAATTTTTATTGCTGGTAATATTTTTTCTTTAGAAATGTATAGCTGGTATTATCTTTTTTTTTTTCAAAAATGTATTGCTGGTAATAAATATTTTTTACAAAGTATTTCTGGTATTAAAACCTAGTTTTACATTTACATAGTGTTTTGACCTCAGTTGGAGGATTAACTATTTGCCCATAGCTAGGACCCTAACAGGTGCTACCACCCTGGGTCAGGGTGGACCTGGGAACACCAGCAATTAAGAGGTGGTTCCACGCTCCTCAAAAACTCCTGATCAGAGGCTTTGCTGTTTATCATCTTACCCAGGATGTGGATGTAGTTTATCGTCATACCCAGGATGTGATCTGCAACTTGAATAGCTGCCAGCTTATGGCCCTATCACATTAAGACACCATTCCCATATGATCGCCAAAGTTAAGCAATGTTGAGCCTAGTCAGTACCTAGATGGGTAATTCCTGGGGATTACCAGGTGCTGTAAATTTGAATTTGTGTGCGTTGTAATTGATAACGGCTCAGTATTGTTAATCAGAGAGCCCAGTTCCAATTTCAGTTATATTAACTTATGAGGAAATACCCTTGGGAAAAGTATGAATCTACCTTTTCTCCCCCAGCTATGAATTAATTAGTAAGACTTATATCACTAAATCATTATTATCTAAAAAAATTCTTACAATGTAAAAATAAAACATTTTTTGGCTTTAAATAACCTGCAAAGGGTTGATAAATCATAAAAAATGAATCAATTGAATCACTCCAGTATGACAGCCTGCTTCTTATTTGCATGTTTACTGTTGATGAAACATGATTTCTGAATAATAATAAGAAAGGTGGTTTTATTTTAGTCAACAATCTTTTTCCCTGCCCTCAACATTCTCACAGAATCTTCATCTCCCCACCAAAATATAATTTAAATTTGGTTAAGATCTCTTTCAAATCCCACCTTGGTTACATACATATCAATCTGAACAATCTTCAAGAGTCTTAGACAAGCTTTGCAGGAACATGAAGCATGTTCAGGATCTCCTGATTAATTCCATCTTTGATTCCAATCATGTGAGAGAATTGTTAGAGTGATCAGTGGTTCATGACTCTATAACTGATCCCAGTTATGTAACAGAGACAGTGGGTTATTCAGTGATGATACCTATGGCTGAGTCTGTAAATTGATCCTTCATTTTCTGACAATTTTCTTGTGATTAATCACCAAGGATTCTCTCATTTCATTTGAAAATCATCTATGAAATGAGTGATATCTGTGTTGCTGAAAAACCTGTGTCCTTCCATTTTTTTTTTTAAATGTTTCTCCCCAAGCAAAGAGCAATAAAGCCACTAAGACACAAAGGGTTACTAGATGTAAGAGAATTGAGAAAAAGAAAACATTATTAAGGATAACAATAAAAGTACAGGGATTAAGAAGATAAGCATTGACATTGCATTTAAATTTTTGAAGATCAAAGTTGAGAGTGAAGGAAAATGAGATGACATTATTGAGAAAAAAGGTCAATAATAGTTAAATATTAAGGAGGTGGAAGGTGACGATTGATATTGCATTGAAATTTTTGAAGATCATAGTTGACAGACAAGCAAGAAGCTGGAAGAAAGTTCCACATGGAAGAAGTGCAAGAGAAGAAATGATTAAAAGAGAACTTGTGGGAAATTTAATGACACTCCAAATTGTGTTGTGGCTTGACAAGCAAAGATGAGACAATTGAACACTTTAAAAAACATACTTTATATAAGAAATACATTATACAGTGAGAATAAAGGATTGCTAAAAACATTCTATTAGCAGTTAAAATTCATGACATCATGACGATATCCAAATGCATGTGTTTATTGACAAAGATGAAACACTTATCTGTACTCTGGTGTTTTCTTCTGATAACTTCTGTGTCCTTGCATCATTCAGGTTTGCTTGTAGCTAGCTTCGTCCATCCTTGGGGTAGGAAGAAAACATGTCTATCCTGTTTGTGATTGTCTCGGCCTCTGCTTTGCTGCCTAAATTCTATTTGGCACCTAATTTTGGTTCTTACCGATTATTATCAGCTAAATAGACTATTCTTACTATCAGCAGGTATTATCTACCAAAGGGAGATAACCTATATTTTTATAAACTTATGGTTACATCTAGCCATTTCAAATATAAAATGATATGACCTTTCCACCAATTTAGTATTAAGTTTATATTCAAAAAGATGAGTAACCAAAGTGGAAAGCTCATCAGAAAAATTATTACGAATATATTTCTAGAAAAGGGAAATCTATGTTAAGGTGGTGAAAAAAGTGATTGACGATGAGATGCCAGGTCAGGACCATTAACAATTTAAGTTCTTCTCTGTATTTTATCAAGAATCTCCAAATACATAGCAGGATCACCAGACTATGTGGCAGCAATATTTAACACATGGAGGAATGGTACATGTATAAATGTGTAAGATAAATTCTGGGAAAAAAATTGTCTACCATCAGACTTAGTAGTTGATTTAATATAATCTTACCACTCCATGTCAGTGGAAAACATTAGCCTAAGAAGATGCAAAGAGTGAATCTCCAGGGGGTTAGCATCTGCCATGCTGAGGGAAGGCAAAAAGGGTTCTCTCAGATGATTAAAAGAGAGCAGTTTTGTTTTGCAGGCATTAAAATTAACAAGCTATTTCTTGCCCCAGTTAACAATAGACTGCAAGCTATTTTTGAGCTCATCTACCAATTTGACCTTATTGAATGGCTCAGCCTTACCATTAAGACAAAAGCAAATAGTTGTCCCATCAGCAGAGGTACTGATGACATTGGAATGTCTTTGATGCAAATTAGGAATAACAAAGGTCCAATGACAGAGCCTTGGGAGACACCTGTATTAATGTTATGATGGTGGGAAAGTGACTGAAATTGAGTTCACTGTCGAAACAGTTAAATGTAGCTGTCTCTTCTACCCCAATAGCTTCATGGCTCACACTGTGGAACTCCCTCTCCATTTCTTGTTTCCCTGATAGCTATAATCTCCAACTATTCAAATGTAATGTCAATCGACATCTCCAAATGCCTTGATCTATCTCCTATCCTTCTCTTCATCCTTTCCTCTATCACTTCTCTTTGCTCTTGCTTCAACTCTCTGTAACTGTTTGCGTGCTTCCTGCTTTGCTTGGGGTGAAATGCTTAAAAAAAAAAAAAAGGATTCTTCTTTGGATTTTATCAAGGATCTCTAAATACATAGAAGAAGCCGCAGAACAGATTGTTTGTTACTTTATTACCAATATCCAGATAAATTTATTCAAACCAACCCTAAAACTGGCCCTAACCGATAAAAATATTTCTATTAAATTATAAAGCATAATGAGGAAAGAGGGCTTGGAAAATCTGAAACTCACAGGACAGATTGAAAGCAGGAGGGAGGGAGGGAGGAAAGAACACATAACATATTTAGTGAACTTGAATAAATGAATGGCAAAACAAGGTTTTGGAGAAATAACAAAAAGACAAAATTTATTAAAAGCTACAAAGGGCAGGAAATTTTGGAAAGCCATGATTGCTTACGTCCTGAATGGACATGACACTTAAAAAAAAAATAATAGTTTTGTTTTAATGCTTGTATCTGAAAATATTTATCTATTCATTCATTTTCTACAGCTTACCAACCTACTGCAGGTTATTTAAAGCCAGAAAATATTTTTAGATTGTACAAATTGTTTTTTGGTTGGGGTGGGTAATAATCATTTAGTGATACAAGTCTAACTATTTAACCCCTAACTGGGGGGAGAAGAGGTAGATTCATACCTTTTCAAGTGAATTTGCTCTCCGATTTCTCATTCTGAGCCATTATCTTACAGCCCCTGGTATTTCTCAGCAGTCACCCATCTAGTTAATGACCTGGCTCGATGTTGCATAACTTTGATGATTGTATGTTTTGTGATGTTAACAAACACTCGTTGGCACTTTTGTGATGTCAACGAATACTTGTTGTCCCTTTTGTAATCCTCGTTGTAGTAGAGACTTTGTAATTACACCGTTGAACAATGTTGGTCTCAGACGCCTTCAAATATCACTCACACTAATAGTACTTGCTTGATAATACTTGCTTGTAATTCATATAGTGATCTGAATAGATAAATAGTATAGTGAATAGAGTAGAGAATAGTGGTCAGTATAGTAATAGAGGAGAGAATAGAAATGGTGATCTGTATAGTATGGAGGATAGACTAGAAATAACAATCAATTAGACACATGTTACCTCTCATATATGTATTTCTTCTATGGTCACATGGTCTACTTAATTCAATAATGGGATTGTCTGTGTTTACTCACTGGTGATCTATGTTCAAACTTGAGTGTCGGCAGCGACACTTTATTCCTATATAACAGTATGGGGGCCAATATTTTAATGTTATAGGACCATAATCCTTCAGGACACTTAGTTTTATGTGAAGAAATATTTAAATATTTGCATTGGAAGTAATTAAATTGAACTTGGAAGGTGATTTTGTTCTTCATGTCATAAGCACATGACCAACATTCTTTTATTTATTTTACCCCAATTTATATCACCCCGGCATCTTCTGCTGCACCACAAAAGTACAAAACTCTCATTGACTGATTAATGAATGGCTCTTGTCTTTTGAAATTTCTCACCTGTTATATTTGTTAACATTTTCTAAAATGTAGATACTGGATTTTTCAAGGATCAGACATTCATCATTTTGTTTTGACCTTACCATCCCAAAGATTTCTGAGATGGATCACGCAAGGTCAGCTCTCCTTTGCAATATAAAAAACTGAAGCCTAAAGAGTAAAATACAGAATGGAGTCAACAATTTTTAACAAAACTATGATAATAGAATAAAAATGTTGAAAAAGACAGAGAAGGAATGAATTCAAGTTACTTTCATTAAAAACTTGCTGAACATAAATTGGAGGAACAAAATCACTTGGAGTGAATTTAGGAGATAAAATCACATCACATGAAACCTTTTTCCATTTTGTCATATGTCTTTTATATATATATATATATATATATATATATATATATAATAGCTGGCCACTTGTATTCGAGGATACCCGTCTACTAGGGCGGCTAGCCAATCCCTATTGCAGACACTCACTCAGGCATATTTATGTTTAACATCCACAGAACCAACCTGTGGTTTATACTGCAACTATGCTGAGCAGACATTAGTTAAAGTTTCTGGGAGAGAGGGAGTTATCTAGCATGATCAACAATTTGAACAAGGCCAGCATGCTCATGCTCTCGTTCATGATGACTTGTGACTTCATGCTAGCACAGTTATTGACAGCCTCCATCTGTTTTGTCTACTCCGTTTCACTTGCAAGGCTTGGGTCAACCTGTGATATGGTTTTCAGGCACTTTCCAAAGGTGCTGCACGCTGGAATCATCTCTCTTCAGACTGATAACATCAAGAAGCCTCCTTCCTGACAAATCAAACGTGGTGAGATTCAAATCAGGGTCTCATTGTCAGAAAGCAAATG